GTATGACACGGAAGATACGAAACAGTGCAATCGAACAGTTCAAATTTTAGGTTTAGTGAATACCACAGAAAGTACAAGATGTGGGTCGAGATAGTATTGCTAAAAAGTAATTGAAGTGAGAAATAACGACGAATAAAAAAAGTACTGGATTGAGATGAGAAAGTCAGCGTCACTGCCAGAAGCCTTTTGAAAAAAGTTTTAACCAGCGCAAAAATGGTAATATCATGTTCGATCTGAAGACTGCCATAGTTCCGATAATGATTATTAAAATGGTAATTTAACATAAAGATAGACATTGACAACAACCATGAGAAAATCATTAAAATTTCGAACACTAGTGCCTCATTGTCATATGTGCTATTATGGCTAATGCCACTTTTTACGGCAACACTATGGATAAATCGGAAATAGCTTGGTTGAACAAATTAAGGCAACGAAAAAAATTTGAATGGCTCGAATCAGTGCGATCAATAAGTAAATTCCAATGCAAACGGAAAACACGTCAGGCTTATTGCAAGTGACTGTTCAAAAAACAGACGGAAGCATAGTAAATCGCAGTAATAACTCGGAGCTACAAGTTCATATTCTATTCAAAATATGATTTTGAATGATTTTGTCATCATGTGTTGCTGAGGTTATTACTTCAGGAGTTTACATAACCCCCTGATTTTTGATTGCTCAACACATCTGCTATAAAGCACCGTAAAAAGAAATACTCTTCTCTGAAAGCAGATCTGCCTCTACCTTGTTCCTCCACTTTGCATGCTAGCCTCTTGATAGATATATGCCATATTTTGCGATCGGGTGTAAACGGTTTATACTCCCATCGGTTTGTCTGACAAGAGAAACGTCTTATTCTGCATATGCATATCCGTGGAGGTCGCCTGTTCTTCTCACCGGAACCGAACCGAATTATTCCTTGCGCCTTCTTTCTATGGTTTCATGAGCAACGTGATACGACTGTCAATCAATAATTTAAACCGATTCCTTCATCGTTCATAAAACATGGTCTTTATGGGATTGGTATTAAGTAGCTAAAAACTAATCCATATTTCTTCCTGACATGCATCCATCACATAAGCAGTCTCCGATTTCAAACGAAGTTTAAAGAAGATGTTAAACTGAAACAGATTTCGCTTTAAATTCATTCTGACTGCGACGACTCACAAATTTTTCTTTGCGTTTATTTATCATTGTGACGGCTCAGCATTAAAACGAAAAATGTCTGTTGTATATTTGACATCGAGGAGTGACTTTAGCGCGTGTTGACAGCATTGATTAATTTTCTTCCGGATTTACAATCTCGAAGGCAAAAAAATTCTGTACTCGTGCAACAGTTGGGCAGCCAGTTTTTGACGAATATTCTAGAGAACACTATTTCGCTCGACGTTTGAGAAGGATCTTGGCAATAAACACAATCAATAAAGACCATTAAGCACGAATGAAATTTTTAGACCATTCTAGCATCAAATAAGTATGGCTTTACGGAACAGTCCGAATTTTCTATGCTTGGCATTGAAGCCAAAAAATTTCAACAAAAATTTATTCCCAAAAATATCCCAGATCAGTGGTGTTGTTAATCCCTAATGAATACAATTAACCTACGCCTCATGGTAGTGATTTATAAATTTTGAAAGCACGATATCACAGCGAATCGGCCAGTAATCACGATCATCCGATCGCAGCGCTGACGTTCCATCGACCGTGCTAAGAAGACAGAGCGAGAAGAGGAGCGACGGCATACAAAATGCCTGTCCTTGAAATAACAGCCAGATACAAACCAAGAAATGGCCGCTGTTTTGGTTCCATGGTTGGCAGCACAAAAATACTTTTTCTCGTATCGCTTACCATGAACTTAGAAGACTTATCACTAGCAAGAGTATCAATAGGAGCCTGAGAAATTATTT